ACAAAAGTGCTTTAAATTTATGCATTGCAGTAGTTAATTCAGTCCAGCAGATACTCAAATATTGAAAATACTTATGTTCAGTCCTGCAGTTTCTTCTGTAAATGTCTACACATTATATCTTTTCATAAAGTTGTTTCAGGACGGGCATTTTCTGTGAGAGATTCCTTATTTTGGGAAAGTACAATGAACATGCCTCTTTGTAGATATACTACATGAAATTCAAGCAGTACTGAAGAGCAACTGCATTTTTCTATTATATAATTGGAGATGTCTGAGATGGCTAGCTTCCTAGGCTGGGCACCAGGAGATGTAGTGTGGCCCTTGTCTCATTGAGGACTGGGTCTGAGTGAGACATACTGATAAGACGTCATAAGTCTTACACCACAAGATTCCTGGGGCACATTACAGATTCTTAGGGATCACTAAGACTTGCAAGGTTCTGACACTCTACAAATACCTTTTTAGGTAATAGTGCCAGTGACTGCTTTCCATTAATCAATTTGCATTCATTTTCAACAGGGTCATCTGTCCAGCTCAACTCAGTGGAAAGCCTGACACATTTTCTTCAATTCAATGAGATAGTAATGCCACGTAAAGAGGAGTTTCTACCATGCTCTGCAATGGAAAAGTACTGGAATTTCTACAAGGAATGCAAAGATTTTGGATTCTAAAGACTTCTTGCGTGCTAATGAATTTTTCTTTGCCATCACTTAAAAGTAAACATTTGAGCTTTTAGAACGAAGTACTTTGCTGCTGTCATTTTGATAAACCATTTGTACAGCACTTGGGATGATGGAAAATTTGTTTGGGTAAGTGAGGAACAGGGAAGTACTTAGTAGCAGGCAAAGATAACTGTATAGAACTGAGCAATATTTACTCTTGCACTGCAAGATTAAGAAATGGGGAAATAGATAGGATTTACACACTGATGCTCATTGTGAATTATATTCCAGGTTGATTACTTTTAAGTTGAACTTTTAAAGTTGAACTTTTTAAAATTAAGTTTTAATTTCGGATTAAAGTGACTGCCCATGCTTGGTGGGGCAGGACAGAAACAGACAGGCATCAGCGTTCACAGTCACTTCTTACACCTAAACCTGGAACTGCTGTAGCTGAGCATGTGCTGTCAGAAATGGCAGTTTGTGTAGTAACATGAATTGTTAGGTTAGGCAAAAAATCAAGATGAGCAGCCTTGGAAATCATCATCAGCTTTGCTTTATGTGGTGTGTATATATATGTGTATATATATATATACACATATATATATATATAAATTTGAGAAGGGGAAAAAGTGCTCAGAGAGGTTAAAAGAAGAATCTTAGCTGTTGGAAGTGCTCAGGAAAACTCCATTCATGTTCCAGCCAAATCTCTCTGATAGGCAGAAAATGTGCTGGCATATGACAGGAAATGCAATTAGCCTGTTTGTGGAACACTAATTTTTCCAGGTAACAGCCTCTCAGATATTCATCCCAATCTCTGAGGGATGTCTTTTAATTTTACAATGTTTGAATCTGCTTTAACAGCATATTTTTAACAGTTTTGACTGTTAAGAGAGTTATCTGCGTTCAAGTAATATTCTTGCTCTTTTGTTCTTTGGATTATAAGAAGAGATGGAATAATAGTACTTGCTACTTCTAACTCCAGTGAATAGGATGGGAAGTATCTCCTGTTAATACATACTGTCAGCAAGCTATTTTGGAGTGTGAAGAGCTCTTCTGCAAAGATCTGATTAGTGTCTTAAACAAAGTTGGTGTACAGAAGCGAGAGGGGTCTGATGTGCAGAGAGCTAGTACTATGCCCTAGGATGCATGAGCAGTCGTAGCCTAATGGGCTGTAAAGAATAAAGAAATGCCAGTGGCCTGGAAGTCAGAAAAGGTAAAAGCTGCTGAGTGACAGGTATTTTGTAAAGTCAGTTTCAAAAGTAAGAAAATGGAGGGTTCTCACAACTGCAGTAGCAAAACAAACCTGAAGGCATATTGTTTCAAAGGAAGTGCTTATTCAAATACTGCGCTTTCACCAAAAAGTAAAAGGTATTTGACTATTAAAATGACCTCTGAATTACATGTTTGTTTCACATTTTTTCTTTGTTGCAAGATGTCTAATAAAATTAATATACAAAACCCAGGAGAATTTGACAGCACTATTTTGGTCTATTATATTAATATGATTACATTACCTGAGGCAATCCTAAGATACAGTGACAGAAAATTAAATGAGCAAACTGAGCAAAGAGGTAAAAATGCAAAGTGATACATGAAAACCACTGTCTCTTAAAGTTGCTGTATGTAAAACTAATCTACCACTGAGGCTTTTTTCAGTTCTTAGTTGTATATAAGCGTCTTGAGAAAGGCATTAGCTTGACAACATACGGCTTAATATGACTAACAAATGTAGGATTCTGCTCCCCAAATCTTAAAACTGTGAATATTCTCCAATTTCCCTGCTGGAGTCCTTTGATTTTAATGTAAAGATCCATGAAGAGAGAAAAAACTTAAACCATCATGTTTTCTCAGGTTAAATTTATGCTTTTTAAGTCTACCTTTGCATAAAAGTATCAGTGGTTGTCACTGGTCAAAGATGGGCAGCTGTTAGTGATGCTAACTGCAGCAGAGTGACAAAGCTTCTACTCACAAGTGGCTGGTCCTCCTCCCAGCCCCTTCTGCTGCTTTCACAATTCAGTTCTTTTATTTAGTAGACCTCTTCTCCACTCCTAGGCTGTGAATTAGCACTTATTTCATGTGGTGCAGGCTAAAGTAAAAAAGAATATAAAATGCAAATAGTAAGACGAAACTCCTGGCATTCTCACTGCTGTTAATATTCACACAGGGAATAAAAGGATGAAAAGGTGATGCAAAAAGCCAAAAATTCAGATTCATATTTCCACATAATTATTTATTTAGTTATTGCTGACATGGAATTTTAAAAAAATCAGTGGAGAGATTAATACCAGTAAGGAAGAATGCAAGATTCAAAAGAAAAGAATGAGTGAAGAGGAAGATAAGCAGCTGGGAGGCAGACAATATAACACAAGATACATCGATTTTAAGGCCAGCAGGAACCAGTGTGACCTCCTGAGTAACAGGTCAGAGGTCATGAAACTCTGTAAGCAAGGGAAACACATGGAGAAGAGGAAAAAAGTAAAGGCAGGTGCAGAGAGAGCTAAAGTCATTCTAAGCAGAGGATCAACACAAAACATTGCACCTTCTTGCCAAGCAAAGCAGAGCAGGTCAGGGAAGAGAATAATGGGAATGAAAGCCAGCTTGTGAAAGGTATTTACAGTACTCTAAGGCAATACTGCTTGGGTTTTTGATGGTGGAAATACAGCTAAGGGGGAGGGAGAGGGATGAATAATGTTGCCATAGGAGTTTGGATAAATTCTTGAAGCAGTTGTAGTTGGCAAGTGTTTGTCATGATGACATAAAGACTTTTTTTCTAGTCTTCAAACCTTAATACTAAACTGGAGGAAAATACTCTGTTCAAATCAATAGATTGAGCAACTGCCTACATGAGACTTGGGCCCTTTATTCTTATCACCAGTTATTAGTTAGCTAGTTCCTATGGGTAGGAAATGATGTGGGTGATCTGACATTTGAAGTGCTAAGTTACTGGCCATATCAAGAGAAACATGGTACAGGAAGGGATTAAAACATTTCTAGGGAATGAGACTTGTACAGGATTTGAATAGCTTTTAATGTGACTTTTGTATCTCTATGTTTTTTATGGATGTGGGTTTTTTTGTTGGGGTTTTTTTATTAAAACAAAGCTTTGGCTTTGTCTGTAGCAGGAGGTTTTACCACTTACACCAATACTGGTGTTGCAGAGTAACCCACAGGTGAGTTTTCCAGCATCTGCGGCCTTCTGATTTCACTTACGCATTTCTGTGGAGAAAGCGCCAGCACCCAGTTACATATAACTTGGTCACAGTGGTTTATGCAATTACCAGCCGTAAGCTGAGCTGTCACAGCGGTGCCCAGCTGCAGGGTCAGCGCTACAGCAGCAGACAGATGCTCTCCGGTGCTGTGTCGTCTTCCACATTTCTCACCGAGCCGGTGCACTAAGGGCCCGAGGCTCTCTGCGAGCAAAGCCAACAGCGCGGCCTGACCTTAAAACACCGGCCTTATCCTGGATGTGGTTGGGGATCTGCAGTATTCCAGGGCAGCGGCAGGTTATTTCACTGCTAAATAAAAACAATAAAACGTCCCCAACCAACCTGCTATAAAGCAGAGGCTTAATGCCAGGGTGCAGCTTATTAGCTCAGAGCTGCGGCTATTGCCGAGCCTGGTGCCCACCCGCCCCGGGAGCGCAGCAGCCCCTCCCTCTCCACAGCTGTGCGCTCCCGGGGCAGCCGAGACGAGGACAAGGAGCCTGGGCCGGGGGCTCGTCCCCCGCCCAGACCCAACCCTGTCTTGCCGCCCGGCCGAGCCGGCTGTAGGGTTTGGGAAGCTCCTCGGCCGCTCCGCCCCCGATGAGGAGTCGTGGGGAAGTCGGTGCCGCGTTTGCCGGAGGGGCGGCGTGCAGGCGGCGGGTTCCTCCCGCTCCAGGTGCTGGCGGGGACCTCACCGTCACCTCCCACTCGTCCTCCTCCTGCTGCCTGCCAGGTTTCGGGGCGGGCGGCTGCCCTTCTTTTTTCCTTCACGTCATGGAGGAAAATGCTGTGTCGCACACCCATCACACGCCCCGCGCACACAAGAGCGCCCCTTCGAGCCGAGCAGGGCGCCGGCCCGGGACGGCCGCGATCCGCTCGGGTGAGTGCGCGACCGGCGGGCACGTCCCGGCACAGCAGCAACGAGACGTCCCGGCCGGCCAAGCTGAGCCCTAACTTGGCGGAACGGCGCTGGGGCGGCAGCAGCTCCCGCCCTGCTCCCGGCGGCTTCGCTGTAGGCGCAAATTTGGATGTTCTGCCGTGGCGGCGGAGTTTGGGAGGAGAAGGAGGAAAGGGCGGCAGTGTGCGACTCCGCGGGGGCGCAGCGGGCGGCGCTGAGCGGAGCAGAGAGCGCCGGGCCGGGCGCGGCGCTGGAGGCGGCCCGAGCCGCAGGAGGAGGGTCGTGCCGGTGCTGCGGGAGAGTTCCGGTAAGAAGGTGCTGTTTGTCTTAAAAGTTAGTTACGGGGGGATTTTGCGTCTCAGTAAGAGGGTGCGGGTGTCCGGAACCGGGGCACCCACCTGCCCGCAGCCCGGCTGGTAAGCGGCGTACTCAGATGTCGTAGCCTCGTAACCTTCTCTCCAGAATCAACAGTTACACCAACTTAAAATAAGGTTTGGTAAGGGGAATCGGAGTTGCTGTGATGTTGGCATTTTTTCGTTTCCCAGTAAATTGTTCAGAATGTTCATGTAGCTGTGTTCAAATTTGCCAAGTGCACTTTGTTGTTTCTTTAATATGGAAAGAGGTTCTTTTTCCTTGTGAAGAAACAGAAAGTAACAATGGGAAGAACCTAGCAGAACTTTTTTTTTTCTCGAAGAGAGACAGTAGCAGCTTGTCCCTTATTACTGGGTGAACAGATTTACTAATGCTAGAATAAGGCTTAGAAATAGAAGACCTCATGGGGGACTTGCACTGTGTCCCACCTAAGGATCTGCTCCACTGAGCATCCTCTGACTCATTCCAAATGTCTAATCCGTAAACCAACCTGTTTCATTTTGAGATAGGCGTGTTTCCTTAATAGTAGCCTTTTTGCATAAATCAATTTCCTTAGTAGTGATCCTTTTGCATTTGCTTATTTGTGAGAGAAACAGCAGAGGGGTAGAGATGGTAGATAAACTTGCTACTGATGTGGAGGTGATTAACAGCAAAGAGCTGCTTGCTTCTTTCAGCCAGAGAATTACAACAATCAAGTGACACTGGGAGGCAGAAGACTGAAAACAAGTACAAGACAGTGGGTTTTTACACTACGCTCAAGTGAGCTGTATGTGTTACCCCCGCACCCACACAATCCCTAGTGTCTGCGAGTCAGAAAGCTTATGTAGGTCCAAAAATGACTGGGTGAAAGAATTCAAAATTTTACAAGAAACGGACATTTGTAACCTGTCTTTGAAAACTTCTAAGCTGTAAGGAAATGGATCTGGAAAGGACATATGGAGAAGATGTTAAAGAGTATTCATTCTTTCTCCTGTTTCCAAGCATCAGCTCTTGACTACTATGAGACAACATCTTGGGCTGGATGGGCTCCATGGATATGATGTGGTTGTTCTTTCATGCACATAGCTTTTCTGAGATGATAATAGAAAGGGAAGTGAAATGCTACAACATTTGTACGTCTGTGGTTTCTGGTTTTATACATCTGATAGTGTTGGGTTTTGGCCCTGTTCCCACGTATTTTTCTGTATGCTGCCCAGCTGTAAAGGCATTGAAAGATTACCAACAAACCTGGCTAATGCATTTTGACATCTGTGTAGTATAAATTAGTAATTCCTAGGGATTATAGCTTTCTGAAAAGCAGCAATGGTGATAAGGAGTACATTCAAGTTTCAGTTGCTTGGGTTGGCACCTCTGTGTGTTATTACACTGGGTATTCAGACCCCCAAGAAAGGGATCCACACACTGAAAACTGCATGTGTACCAGGTTCTGTAAGTTTTGTGGTTCTTAACCTATACTATGCATGCTATTTTATGGTCTAATATGTGCAAATTATTCTAGTCAGTCAACAGGCTGGCTGTGACCATCCTATAAATGCCTTGCTGAGGAGCAGGAGACTGTATCTGAAATGAGTAGTCCAGGTAAAGTCAGAGGAATTAAGCTTAAAGCATTTACGTGGCAGTTACAGCTACAGAGTCATTTGGAGTCATATGGTGACTCCAGCTTTTGAGGTCTTCCAAGAAATATTGATAAAGGAACTAAGAAATGTACCAGATGAGTCATAAAAAGCTCATTTCTGCAACATAAACAGCGGGGTGCTGAATCCAGCAAGGGAGTACATTTTGCGTAATTGTCAACAAGTCAAGCCTCATCAGGCTCTCCCTGAAACACTTGAGGAAGGCTTCTCCAGGGTTTGCAGTGTGATCAGGCACGAGGCAGATACCGCTCTGCTTACAAAGACAACTGTGAAGAAAGAGGAGGTCTTTAATTGCCCCAACCCAGATAAAGGCAGGTGGTGGGGTAGATACCAGCCTGCCAGAGATCCACCCATCCTCCTGCAACAGGCTCTGTTGTATTACCCAGCTGCTGCATGGCTTGTCTGGTGGGTCAAGTAGCTAGCCCATGGCCTGTCCAGGATTCCCTGGTGCCAATCAAAGGCCTTTTCCTTTTGAATTGACTGTGCAGTGCTGCTGGCCTGTGTGTGTTTTTGTGGTGCGTTGTTTGCTGGGGGAGGTCTTTCTTCATGCTTGATTTCCAGGCAGGGACAAATCAGCATCCTAAATCTTACTCAAAAGATGCATAGCTGTCCGCTGACCTCTTTCAGTTTTGCATGTGCTGGGAGCTTTTGTCTCACAAAAAACGTCCCATTTTCTTAATTTTTTTAAAATAAATTTATAACACATTATATAATTGACCATGGTACCCTCCCATCATACAGAAAAGAGGTAAAGTTGACCCAGCTACTGTCTTGCCACATTGCATCTTATACAGACAGAGAGTGCCAATATTAAGTATTAATATTCCATATTAAGGAATCTGGATACCATTATTTCTGTATAATTTTGCAATGCTGAGGACAATGAGCTAAGGCAGGACAGGAGGGGGGCCCTTGAATCTGTGACACCCAGAGCCCTGTTGGGGCTTATGACACTCAGGCTTGTGACACTTCAGTCACAAAAGTGCAGATTATAATTCTGTATCATCTGGCAGACTGGTGATGAAGAGGAGGCTGGTGTGTGTATTTTGGTCAAAATGTGGATGGAGAGGAGGACAATGCTACATATGCCTTACGAATACTGCTGCAGTGCTTTCCTCGAGGGAAAATACCATGATAGTTGTTTGTGGTATACACAAATAGTAGAGTGCTTAGTTCCTCAAATTTCTCTGTAAGCATCACACAGAGAAAAGTTAGGTATAATAGCCCAGAAATTTATTTCTTGCCAGGGAGACTTTGTATACCATACAAAGTACTTATGTATAGGTGAACTTCCAATGCAAGCCATCATATCTAAGGAGAATTTCAGGAAGTATCATGAGGACTGTGGATCTCATAACAGTAGCCCAAACTTCTGGCCTTAGCTTAGTGTCAGAGCTATTTTATTTGTGGAGGGAGCAAGGCCTCTGACACCTGGAGTGTTGGTACCTGAAGTATTATGTGCATCTCAGACTTGCTGAGGCTTTTGACAAACTCCTCATGCCAGTGCTTTTCTGCCTCTCCCCAAGTCCTCTTTACTCTGCTGGAGAAGGAAATTAAGTTGCTTTGATGTGATCTGTTCTTTTTATGGTGTTCCTTTCTCCCTGCCTTCTTGGTGCTTAGAAATGCTATGTGAGTAAACAAGAATAAATGCTTCTTATACAGATAATGCTTTCCACAGCTTAATAACAATAAAACCTTCCCAGCTAACCAGCTAAAAAGCAGAGGCTTATTAGTTCAGAACTGCAGCCATAGCCACCCCTGGGACTTAACATACCAAGCCTCCATGTACACTATTTTTCAGCTAACATTTTACATTTTCTTTTTTAATTTGTGCAAGAAATAATGCCTTCCCTACTACTTCTGTATGTCCGACTTCATACGCATGTGAAGCACTGATACTGGTGGAGGCTGCGGGCAGTGGCAGGATGGAGCAGACACTAGGACTTGGTTTGCCCACTGAGCTGGCAGTACCCATATTGATCTCCTGGGACAGAGCATCCTAAAGAGGGGAAGAGGCCGCAGCAAAGTCCAGGAGGTAGGTCTGCAGCTTTCTCTGATGAGATCTTACTGACGTGACAAGCTGTGACTTTGCGGGTAGAAATGACTTAAAGAGGGTGGTTTACAGTGGGGCTTGGCAGAGAAGAGTCTGCCGGCAGCTTGGTGGTGGGGTGAAGGAAATGGAGAAATATTTTGAGCTGTTAATGGGAGCTTTTCTGTGGTGTCATGCAGTTTCTCCTGTTTCCCTGTCTAACAGGAAATTTCCACCCTCTTTTACAGTGCTTCTCCTTGCCAATGAACACAAATACTGTCCCTTTGGGTTTAATTTTTATGTTATTCTATAGTTTAAAGGTTAACCCTCTCTCCACTGTAGTACTATTGCTTTAAACTCCCAAATGAGGTGGAAAAAAGCTGTTAAACTCTAGATTGCCACAAATTAGAAGGGACTAAACTCTATTTGTTAGTGGGATTTTGTTTATTTGTTTTCTTGACTCCTGCCTTTATAGTACACAATGTGCTTGGCAAGCATGGATACCCCCATGTCACAAAGCCAGAGAATTGATATTCTCAATGTATAAGCATCAGACTTGGGAATTTTGATGACTGACATCTCTGTGCCTTCTGAACACTTTCTTGCTTTAAGAGGGCTGCAAATCCTTTGACTGGCATCACACAGTAGTACGGGATGCTGAGGGATTTGCTGAGAGACTTTTCAGGCCTCCAGTAAAAGAGCTTTTGTGAAAAGTTTCTGTAAAGCAGTTCAGATTAGTTGGGGTTGCAGAGGAATTACATTCTCTCTTGTGCTGCTTGCATGACCCTGCAGAAGTTGCTTACCTCTTTACCTGGCCAAAGAGCTGAGACATTGACTTTCCTTACCCTGACATATCTCTGGGACACGAACACGCTGAAATTGATGTAAGATATTTTACTGAAACTGTGAGGAGAGCCACTGGAGGCAGCCAGAAAGGAGAATCCAGCCTTTTCTAAAGAGCATACAGAGGGCTGGAACTGAGTGGCAAACAGACAAGCAAAGCAACTTACTGTCTGCACAGGAAGTTCTGCTGGGAAATGCAGATCCTGTGCAAGAGACAATGCTCTGGGACAAGGTTGTGTGTGATATCCATAACTGCCAGATCTTTGCGGTGTTTCCCAGGTATGTGGCAAGAACGTCTTTCTGCTTCCAGAAGCAAAAACCACACTGTGCTAAACTGTAGTAATTTTTTACTGTTTTTCATGGGGATACTCTGCTGTTTTAAGTCTTCATGGCCTTAAAATTGGAAGGTTTATAATCTAATTACTTCTAAAAGTAATGACATATTTTTTCACATCTTGCAATTAAGTGTTTAAGTAATTGAAGTTACTTAGCTCTTTAGTTGTCCGTCATTCAGAGAATGTGTAAGTGAAAAGTAAGTAATCTAACTTACTCAAGCAGGCAAGCCAAACCAAGGGGGCGAGATGTGCAGAATAAGGCTGGTGCTAAGTGTAACTGTGTTGGAGGGGCACAGGCAGAGGCTCCAGTGCAGAGCAAGTGGGTGGAAACTCAGACAAACTTGATAGAATCAACTGATTGAGATTTAATGACAATAAAATGTACTCCCACAGAAATCCCATGATCTCTATCAATAGATAATTTTGCAATGAAAATAACCAGCTAACAGCAATGAAAAAATAGCACATAGTAAATTAACTTTTCCAGTTTGCAGCACTGAATAGTTAAGAAATGATAAAATTTCAATTCAGACAGTTTACAAAAAAATAAAATAAACAGCTTAGGAAAGCACACGATTACTTTTCCCTAGTTTCCCAGGAACATCCTCCCCTTTGTCTTTCCCACAGACCTATCAAGGCCCAGACTTGATTTGTGTAGAACACAGAGAAAACCAGGAGGAGCTAACTAAACTTTTGCACAGGGCTGGTCATGCAAACCACCGAGTTTGCATTGCTGTGTGAGCCAGGTGTGTTTTAAACAAACAGAGATATTTTATCAGGGGGAACTTTCCTGAAGTGTTTTTACTTTGAGGAGAGGGAATTGTTCCCTCTTTAAGTTCCTGCTTTATGTAGTAATGGTGTTGGCTGCTGAAATACACTGCGACCTGGTTTCCAAGGAAGGGTGTACACACTAGTTTTGTTTCAGATGTCTTTGAGTGATGGGGGTGTAACAGGTTAAAGAAATCTCTTGTTCTGCTATTCTGTTTTTTGTTGATGTTGTTAATGCTACCTACATGAAAGTACTTACCCTTTTCAATCCCTCTCTCCATTCTTCTTTTTTGTAATTTTCCAACCTCTATTCTGCTGCTCCTGCTCTTCTCAGCACACATTCCTTTTTTTTTTTTTTTAATCTAGGTGACAGCAAGGAGTTTGATTCATATGCAGAAGGGTTTCTTCGCGCAAGAAACAATCACTTGTTGGGGTGAAAGTACTTGTATTCCCCTAAACTCTTCCCCCTCTTTTGTCTCCTTCCACAGACTTGCACTCAAGCTTGACATTTTCACTTCACTCTTGCTCTGTGGCAAGCACAGAAGCAGGTGCCTCACAATGCTTTCACAGTGGGCACCATGTATTTCAGATCCACTGAGGAGAGAGCGCTGCCTGCTCGCAGCCTGAGGTTTCCAAGAATCCCTATTCTAGTAACAGTCAACATGTCTTGTCAGTCCATGCTCTGGGTAGACCAGTCCCAGGCAGATGTGACAAAGGACAAGAGGTGGTTCCCACCAGCTGGCTGTCTTGCCTAGCACCAAAAGTAATTTGTGGCATCTGTAGAAGGTCAGAGACCTCTTTGATCAGTATTGCTTAAGTAGAACAGAAGTACTATAAATGTGGTAATGCTGTGCATTAGTAGAGATCCTGGCTTTTGTTTTCTGTAACTCAGTGTAGCTGAGTAGTTGAGACTAGGTTTTTGCTTGCCTACTGAGCAGGTCCTTCAGGAAGGACTGGAAAGGACAGAGCAGGAAGAGGGGCAGTGGATGTTAATATATTACCTTGTTTTCCTCAGGAAAGTTGTGATGCATTGGTTATTGCAATGGTTAAGGCAGACAGGTTACAGACCTCCTCAGGCAGTCCTGCCTGCATGCCTGCTGCTAAGCCAGTTGCTTCCAACACCAAAGGAATGCCTTTCCCTCTCCATGGTGTCAGCTCTCTTTGAGCAGAGATCCCTTCTTTTTTCCTGAAAAAAACCCAACCTTCAAAGCAGGAGTTTTATTCTTTTACCTGGAGGTGCATCTGATATCTTAGCTTCCTGTGATGGGCCTGGATGATTCATAATGGCTCCAACCTGCAGGTGACGTCCAGGGAGCTTGTGGGCATTGTAGATTCACCTGGAAGCTTCTACTTCTAATCACTGAAGCACTTGAGTTTAATGCAGCACAGTCTGTATTGGAAAAGACAATGAGGAAAGGGAATGGAATGCTGGGGAGTTGAAAAATTCTGTATTTTCTCAAACAAGGTAGTTCAGATGTGCTAATTCAATGTGCTCTGAATATAAACTGGACAAACTGGGAACACCTCTGCTCTGTGTGGACAGCAGATGAGACTTGCCATGCTGAGCAAGAGGAACATGAGTGTTGGTAACTTGTTCCTGCTCAGGGTGAAGGGAGGTGTAGACTTCTCTGCAAGAATGACGTTGGCATCACAAAGTTGCACAGACTGTGAGTCTGGGTGCATTGAGGTTGTGGAAAAAGCAAAAATAATAGTGTGAGGAACTGCAGTAATGCCCTGGTCTCTCACAGGAACCAGGTCTCCATAATATTATTGAAGTCTTTCTAAAGTAAAAACTCATCTTCAGAGACACAGTGTGAGCCCAAAGCCTGCCAGTTTCTTTGGGCTGATGAAGGTAACCTGTGCATTCCTCCGAGCTCTCAAATACCTCTTTAAACATTTACAGAGGGATGTACTCAAAGAAGTACTGCTGTGACGCTGGTGTATATGAACCATTGGAGGTCAGCCAGAGCAGGATCTTGGTTCCCTGAGCTAACTCAGACTTGTGCTGGCCAGAGCAGCTTCCTGGCTTTTCTTTGTTGCATCTGAGTACCACTCTGGGATGGAGGAGCTGCTGGGGTGTTCCTGGCAGAGGATCAGGGTTATGTGTGATACTGCTACCCCTGGAATTCCTCACATTAGGAGTGCAACAAGGCTATGCCATTGAAAGCAGGGTTGGCAGAGCTGGCACTTATGGTGCAAGAGCTGGGCTTTTTCCTTGCTTCTCTTTGCTGTTCCAGGGATGCTTTGTGCAGCCCATCTCACAGTTCCTGTTTTGGGATGAATTGCTGATCCTTTGCAGTTCCTGGTATCTTTCCACTGGCTGCAGATTGCATCAGATGCTTAGTCTGGGCAAGGTGCATAGTAGAGCAATGCTCTGCTATGCTCACATGCATAGTAGAGCAACTAGGTTGCAGAACAGGTTGTCTGCTGTTTTTTTTTTTTTTCAAGGCCAAATCTAGAAGTAGTCTGGGTAGATTCACCACATTAAGTTCTGCTTTCTAACATTAAGTATGACTAGATGTTATGTGACAACCTCAAGCAGTCTAGTGGAAATGTTCCTACCTGTGGTGGGGGATTTGGACTAGATGGCATTTAAAAGTCCCCTTGCAAGCCATGTATTTCCATGTTTCTATAATTCTATGAAGCAACATATGATGGTGTACAGTTTCTCAGTAGGAGTGATAATTTAAACATGATTTTACCCTGAAGGAATGGAGGCATATTTTGTAAAAAATGTTAGTCCCAGTGAATTAATATATGTGCTCCCACGTGGTTCTTCAATTTTGACCACCACATCTTATAATGTAGAGTTTTACCTGACTGCTCTGTTTTTCTTCTAATTAAAAACAACAGCAGTTCCTATTTTTTTTTTCCTGTGTGTTTATGGGGAGGTGGATAAGGCTTCTCTCCCCTTTCTGTATCTGTGGTCTGCTTCCCTCCATGGAAAAGATGCCGCACAGTGTCCAACGCAATTACCTTGATACCCGATATGTGATAGTGCACAGTGGCCTTAGCCAGAGTATTTAGATCAGAATGCAGAAAAAGTTACAGAGCACTCAGGTGAAACAGCAGAATATTTTTTCAGGCAGGCAGATCATCACTCTCTCTTAGGGTCTGCCTTGGAGGCCAGAAGTCCCACTGATGCTTTTACAAATTTTTACAGAAAAGAACATTTTTTTTTTAGTTGTTAAAAGATACAGATGAAGAAACAAACTTTGTTCTTATTTATCCTAATTTTGATGAAAATACCGTAATCTGTAAAATAACCCAAAAGGTGGATTGTTGCCCTCTGTAATACTTCATTCTCATTCAAAATGGAATTTCTTTTAGAACTCAGTTCTGTTCAAACAGAAAACACTGAAACAGAAAGTATTTCTATTGAGTTTGTGAGACATACATTGACTTGAGGCAATATGCATGTGTTTTGGGGGTGCCAATCAAATGCAAAATCGTTCAGTTATTCACATGGTTCAGAGAGCAGCATGTTCAGGGTTTTCCAGCCTGGTTGCATCTGATGTTAGCAGCACACCTTACCCTTGCCTAACATTTTTAGACTTCATTATCACAGAAGACCCACTTAGAGCCTTGCTGTCAATCAGAAGAGTTGCAATTAATGCCTGAGGTTCATGACTGAAAGCTTTTAGCTGGGTGCCTTCCGAGCTACCACATTCCTGAAGTCAGAGTCCTCCCACCTGAAGCCTGAGGACCTGGGGAGAGGATTTCCTCCCTTTCCTGACAACTTTACCCATTTTCATTTTGGGGTTGAATCTTGAGCAGTGGGCATGACTTTATGAATTCAGAAACATTTAACACAGTAGCCCTTGCAGGTGAGGTGATGATCTTTGTGAGGCTGAGCTGTTGTTGGTCTCGAGGGGTGGATGCTTTACCTTCATCCATCTTCTCTGAATGTGAGCAAGAATTGTGAAGGGAGAGACAATTCCTCGACTTTAATTTTTTTTTCATTACTAGTGCTAGTGATAAGGGAAATGCAGATTTTTTGACATAATAAACTGATAAGGGGAGCTCTCACAGTGACCCACAGCTTCCTTGGGAAGGAAAGCAGATGGACAGGCACTGATTTCTTCTCAGTGGCAAGACCCGAGGGAGCAGTCTGAAGTTTTGTTGGGGGAAGTTTAAGTTAAGTATAAGGAGAAGGGTCTTCACCCAGAGGGTGTCTGGGCTCTGGAAGAAGCCCCCCAGGGAAAGGTCACAGAGCACCATCCTGACACAGTTCAGTACTCCCATGGTCCAGAGGTGGAGAATGCTCTCAGGCACATGATGTGACTCTTGGGGTATCCTGTGCTGGGCCAGGAGTTGTAGTTCACTGATTCTTGTGGGCCCCTTCCAACTCAGGACATTCTAAGATTCTATGGCTTTGTTTGGTTTCATAGCAACAGAATGTTTGGCTCTGGACAGAAGCTGGCCAGAGCTGACACAGATAGAGAGGTTAAGGAGAAGTTTGGAATGTGTTGGATTTTTCCCTTCCTTTTTCTTTGTCCAGACTTGCCTTTTTGAAGGAGAGAATAAGAGAAGATTCACTCCTTGATTTAGGTAATCCCTCCCTGTTCAGGCAGGGGTGGTAGGTGATGTCCTTGCTTAGCCAGGGGGACGCTGGGCAGAGGCATGGGGTGGGCTTCACAGAAAGGCCACACCACATAGGTCTTCTCCCTCCAAAGAAAAAAGCCAGGACACGTTACCTGTTTCCCCCTCTGCAGGGCTTTTTTTTGTTTTTTTCATATGACTGAAAACCTGCCTTTGGTTAGGAGCAGTTTTTAAAAGTGATTTTTTCCAGGATCACAGATACAAAAAGAGGGTAGGTAAAGGGGAAACCCAGATTAGACATTGGACTGGGATTAATTTGAAGAAGAGATGAACTAAAGCACCTGCTTGCTGTGGGGGAATGTGGGATTTTTGCCTTCAGAGGGATATGAATGTCTCACTTCTTTTTGAGGATGATAAGGCACTGCAACAGGTTGCCCAGAGAAGCTGTGGATTCCCTATCCCCGGAATTATTCAAGCCTAGGAGAAGGTCCTCTGCTCATGGCAGGGATTTTGGAATGAGATTATCTTTAAGGTCCCTTCCAACTCAAACTATTCAATGATTCTGAGATCTGTTTTTTTCTCTTTCTTTGTTAGCATACCTGGAGGCTGTTTCTAAAACCTGCAGAGAGTTGCTGAGCTTTGGTTTCTACGAAATAGGTATGTGTTGGCTGACCCTGGTCTGTACGTGGCAACCCCCAGGAGATAACATTTCCTTCTTTCTGTTGCCCTCGAATAGAAATATTGAGGACAAAGATGCACAGGGAAAGGCAAAGTCAAGGGAGAAGAGACAAATGAAAAAGCTCCGCCTTGACAAGCTGCAATTTGAATGTAGCTACAGCTTGCAAGACCTGACATAAAAGGGATTGCTAAAGATGCCCAAGTTAGTCTTGCAATATATTTAAATGCACATCTCAGTATTTCATTTTACATACATGTGTGAGATGTTCAGGCATCCAAGCCACATCTGCTGCCCCCACCATTTTATTGGCTCTAGAAGCACTCTGAAAAGTTTCTATTCAAAAGAAAACAGTGGGAGCTGTTCAATTTAAAAGCAAAGTAGAGTTTCATTTAAGCGAAGTACAGCTAAGTTTACTCCTGCACTTGTTATGTGGTTCTGGTCTAATTTTGATTTGGGGAACAGTGCTGATTACACTCAGCCAGTAAAGCTGAGTATGTGGAAGAGGATCTCTGTGTTCAGCTTTTATTGTGGTAGTGACTCAGTTGTTAATGGGCTACACAGGAATTTTTTTAAAATAACATGCTGTATAAAAAGGGGCCACATGTGTTTTTGTGGTCACATCCAAGGTTGTGTCACACGGCAGAGAGCAGGACAGATGCACTATTCCTTACTACTGCACCCCTTTTGCCTTCAGAAGGGTACTTCCTTTATATGTTCATACCAGTGGATGAAAGTGCTATGTATCTATCCACCTCTGTCTTCATGGCAAGTTAGAAGTATTTTCCAGAAAGAATCTGAAGAGAGAAAGGAGACTTTGGGCTTATCAGATCTTGTTGGCACAGGATAGGAAGAAAATTAATTTCCTCTTGAACATCTTTATAAGCCAGCTCCAGTGTTTGTGGTAATAAGAATGCAGTGTTTGAATACTAAAACTTTCAGTTTCATGCTTTTTTAAAAAAACAATACTAATATCTACCATTAGGCACACATTCTTTGCAGACTTACTAGACATCCCTTTGCTGCTCCCGTTAAATGCCTTGATGTTACTCAGGAAAATAAACAATCTTTCCTACTCACATGGATGACAGTAATGTTTTTGCCAATCCAGGGTGTGCTGTATTTCAGTTTGTAGCTCATTAGAAATTTTAAAAAGATATGGAAAAAGACCAGTGGGAGTCTTGTTCTGATACTCTTATTTGACTGGAAATCGTCTGGCTTATTGCCTTCACTTAGCTAATTCAGGGGAATGAAATTTTAAAATTATGATTAGGAAAAAACTAGAGATTACCAGTGGCCTTCCTAATAAGGTGGTATTTATGCTGTAGACAGACTGGTGTGCACATATCTTTCTTAGGGGTTGGAATGGTCTCTGATAACTTCAGAGATGATTTCTGATTTAAAGTAACACTATGTATTTTTTTCTTGCAGAATGAAGAGACACAAGTGGTCCTACAAATGTCCCTCACGAAGGAAGATCTTGATTCTGTGTCTTACTGGGTGGCTGATTGCACTGCTGAAGCTCCTCCATGTCGAAAGACACTTTTTTCCCTCTAGAGGCATTTACTTAGTTGAGCACTTTTTGAGCACTTCTTCTTATGTTAGAAACAGATATTCGTACCCTAGAAATGAGTTCCAGTATGAAATTAATTGTTCATCTATATATGAACAAGATCCTCATGAAATTGGCAAAAGTTTAGAGATAAGAAGAAAAGAAATAGTTGATTTAGCTGATGAAGATGTTGTAGCAATGACAAGTGACTGTCATGTGTATCGTTCACTTAGGAAATACCAGCTAAAACCCGTTTCTCCAGAGGAGGAGAGTTTTCCAATTGCCTATTCTTTGGTTGTTCACAAAGATGCAGCAATGGTAGAAAGGCTCATACATTCATTGTACAGTCGTCAAAATATTTACTGTATCCATTATGATCAAAAAGCAGCAAAAAGCTTCAAATCTGCTTTGACCAATCTAGCTAAATGTTTCCCAAATATTTTCATTGCATCAAAATTGGAGACAGTGGACTACGCACATATTTCACGTCTGCAAGCAGATTTCAATTGTTTGTCTGATTTGATGGACTCTGCAGTTCCTTGGAAGTATGTTATCAATTTGTGTGGCCAAGATTTCCCTTTGAGATCAAATTTTGAACTGGTCACTGAACTGAAGAAACTCGGTGGAGGAAACATGCTGGAAACTTCAAAGCCAAGCAGTAGCAAAAGAGAACGATTTACTTATCATTATGAACTTATGAAAGTGCCTTATGAGTACATGCAGATGCCTGTAAAAACCAACATTTCCAAGAATCCGCCACCTCATGATATTGAGATATTTGTAGGCAGTGCCTATTTTGTTTTAAGCCGAGAATTTATTCAATATACCCTTGAAAGCTCACTTGCAAAAGATTTTTTTGAGTGGTCAAGGGACACATACTCTCCAGATGAACATTTCTGGGCCACTCTTGTACGTGTCCCCGGGGTCCCTGGGGAAGTTCCAAGGTCATCCCAGGATGTAACAGACTTACAAAGCAAAACTCGTCTGGTGAAATGGAACTATCTTGAAGACTATTTGTATCCTCCATGCACTGGTACCCACCTTCGCAGTGTCTGCATCTATGGGGCTGGAGAATTAAGGTGGCTTCTGAATTACGGACACTGGTTTGCCAACAAGATTGACTCCAAAGTAGATCCTGTCCTGGTAAAGTGCTTGGCAGAAAAGGTGGCAGAGCAACAGAAGGAGTGGGTACGTTTGTCCTCTGATGAGCACTTTCTGCACTTGAGTTCTACGAATGCCTTGACGTAGCAGTGCTGTGTTCTCTGCTGTCCCTGCTCTGTGCACAGCACCTGCAGTCCTGCTGCCTTGGCTGGCTGCAGGATGGCAGTGAGGGAAAAGTCCATTCTGGATAACACCCGGGGCCCTGCAGAGCCAGGTGCCTGGCTAGTTATTTATGTAAAGGAATTTCTTGCTGATTAACTGTTTTGTCACATTAAACCTGTAATTATCTTCAGGGTGATCCTGAGATGGTGAAGTTTGCTTTGGAGGGTCTTGTGCTCTCTATCCCAATGGAGTATTTCAGAAATGTGTTTTACTTCAAGTGTGTTTGTATCGTTTATGAGAAACTCCATCACTTCTGTCTGCCTCTCCTCTTTTCCTTCACTTTTGCTTTTATTAAAGGAATAAAGGGAAGACCTCTGTATCTGCTACCTCAGGAAAACTGCAAGTGCCCATCTCACAGAAAAAACCAAGAGATCAGCAGGAGCACCAAATGAGCCACGTGACCCCACCTGAAGTTCCACACTTCAGGTGCATAGATCTTTGCAATGTGAATATGACTGGATGATATAAGAGAAAGAAGATCCCTGTATACTGCATTGTGTGTACCATTGTTCTCTTCTCCCAGCTAACCTGGGTGTTGCTGTTCCTTCTACAAAGCATGTGATCAGGTGCTGTGCCAACACTGTTGGTTTCACAAGCAGTGAAAGTTGGTTGAAATAGTTGTGCTCTGTTGAGTGCACACAGTTGTGTGTTCTCCAGAGGCAGGATACATGCCTGCCCTAAGGGCAGTCTCTGCAGCCATGTGGGGAGGTATTCGTGCCAAAAGAGGTCAATCTTCATTTCTATCTGCCTCTAGGAATATCTTTATGTGAAATCCCAGTCCTCTTGAGACAGTATCCCTACACACAGAGCTGTTTCCAGTTGGTGTTCAGCAGTGTGGTGCTTTGTTGAATGTTGAACACACAAAGTTGAGCAGTAATCATAAGAACAGCCATATTACAGAAAGGAAGACCCTGCATTAAGTGGTTTCTGTGCAAGTGTCGTGGCTGTGCACTCCCATGATCCCAGGCTGACAGGTGCCTGAATTGGCCCTGGTTCAGCTGTGGAGCAAGAGTTCTCCTGCAGCCCCTGCTTGCCATGGCCCTGCCAGGCAAGTGGAATGGGAATGGCCCTGCCATTCCCAGCTGTGGAATGGCTCAGGAGCCTCCTCACAGCTGGCCTTCCCACACTCCAGCATGAGGGACGTGTTTGCAAGTGCAGTGGCCTCTGCAGAAACTTGTGCAACTCAGAAATGCCACTGGCATTTTGGGGGTTTCCCTGCAGTGCTGCTCTGCCACAAGTTCAGTTTTGGTGGTTCCAGTGGATCTCGGGGTTTAGCTTTCTCCGTGCCACTGTCTTCTTTCTAGCCATCCGTCTTTTATTAAGGGACCTTTCCCCATGAGTGACTTTGGGATATCTGTATCTGGTCTTACTGATCTACAGATTGCTGTAGTAATGACCATATCTCATATCAATGAAAAATCTTTGTTCCTTATTTGTGCTGAAAAAACCAAGCTGCTTACAGTGAAGTAATTCGTGGCTCAAGACTGGTTTGAGAGTCAGGATTCTCAGGCATTTTTCCACATTTGTGACAATGATTTTCAGTAAGTTCTCAGACAAGCCACCTGAGTTTTCTGTTTCAGCTCTTCCCATTGTGAAATGGGAGCCATAATCTTCTATTGTCTTGCTAAGCACTTTGAAACCTGTGGGTGTTGTGGGTTTGGTTGCACAATACTAATTTTTTAGTATTAACTTATTTTGTGGATAATTTATTATCCACAAAACTATTTATGGAGTCTGTGGCTGCACAGGTCAAGTATTCCTTAAATGTACTGTTTCTGAAATAAATGGGGATTATTTTTAGAGTTGCATACTCAGTGACATGCCCTGTCTACCCACGGCTGTCCTGACTTGATGTAATTTATAAATACTTTGTAGAAAATTAAATATTGGTGGTATTTACGGATTCATATATTAGTGCTTGCAAATAAAATAGAGTCCTCAGTGGTAAAAAAGGTAATGAAAGAGAATGTTAGGATCCCAGAGGGCCAAGCTACAGCCTTCTGTACATATAAATTGATGATATATTTGAAATTTTGTATTTATTTAAACTGGCTTTATGTATGTATGTACACATATACCCATTTTGGGTTTAATTGTAATTGTTTGATCTGCCATAGATTTATAAAAATAATCCACCAGCCCATTAAACTTCATTGAAGTGTGTTATTTTAATCAACATGCAACTTTGTGCTATTTTAGCTGAATTGACTGGAATGATGCCTGTCATTTAATGAGTTTGGAAGAAGGCACCTCGTTCTTCCAAGGTGGTGGAGAAGTGGGGGCGGATGTGGCACGGTGTGAGGCAGCATCAGCCGCTGGTTTGCTACATGAGGAAGTGGGCAGTGTACAGACATAGCTGCAACTTTATGAAGTGCTGATTTTCCAATGAATTCTAGATGTTTCTGCTGTTCTGAAAGCAGCTTTAAAGGCTATTCAAGGTTGTAGAGAGGCAGTTCACAAAAATCAGTCATTGGATTGGTGAGGCTGGAAGATCCTCTAGTCCAGCCTCTTGTTTGCAACAGGATCAACACTGAATTTGGGCTGGTTTTCTTGGGTTTTCCTGGGACTTTTGCAGATCTCGAAGGAAGGAGGAATATTTTCCATTGTTTCCAAAGAAAAGAACAGTCAAAATATAAGTGTCTTAACTTTTGAATAGTATTCTCTCTGGTTTTTGGCTTTGCATTCAACAGGGTTGCCATACTGATGCCTGGATCACAGTTAAGTAATTAGACTACAGGGGTGGGTGACATCCTCATCATCACTGCTCTTTACATGGGTATGTCTGCCATTGCTGGACCCAAGGCATGATACACAACCTTTCTGTGAGGAAAGTGGCTGAACCTAGTTTATGGTAAAACAAAGACTTTTATTTCGGCTGAAACTTAGATTATGGGCACTTACTCTCGCACGGTTTGTTGGGGGTCTCTTTGTGGTTTTCTTTGTACATTTGTTGGTTTGGTTTTATTTTCCTTAGTAAAACTTATATTTCCTTTTCCTTTTTTCCTCTTCATTCTTTTCCTCACTTCTGAGAGATTCCCCTTGTAATTTATTTCACAATTTTGAAGTACACATACATTTGTACATATTGGTTTCTTCTTTGTTTGTTCTGCTGAAGAAGCACTATGCTGGCCGTCTTCCACCCATCCTGCCCTGTGCTTGTCATGTGGAGAATCTGGACTATCGGGTGACCCAGTTTTCCCATTCAGGAGGGATGCATAAGCAGAGCAACAGTGCTGCTCCTGGCTGTCAGCGCCGGTGTACGTGTCCAGCCCACCATTTTATTGGTGTCTGAAAACTGCAAAAATGCTGAATGCATTCCAACACAAAAGACAAATTAAGTAAGGAAGAAAAGGAAATAATGAGCTTTAGTGAAAGAGATGCAGAGCCAACATTTGTACTGCTTGTCTTGTTAATGAATTTATTAGGCTAGACATGTAATCCGGAGGATAATACATACCAACATAAATGCCTCACTACGTATTTGCTTTGGCATGGGAATAAAAGGATGTGATAGGAAAGACTAGGAATTAGACTCTAATCTGTAATTGTAATTAAAACAGACTTGGCCTATTGACTATTTCTATGACTACAGTGTCATTACTGTGGCATTTAAATCAGAATGTATAAACATAAGAAAACCAGTATTTGGGCAGCAAATGTGGAGTATATGTGGTGCACTAATGTGTGTTTACAGTGTGACCTTGAGTTTTATTTCAGGTATAATATCTGTTTTAACTCGATGTTTTTACAGAACCTGGGTTCTTGGTGATGATAACTTCCAGTCAAGGAAGTGATTCAGCAGAACGATGTGATCTGTTACTGACATGCAGTGAATCTGTACTGGAAGCACCCCAGTGCTGTTTAGTATTTCAAGCTGACAGTTACACACTCTGTCCTGCTCCTGTTTCTTTCTTCACAGCTACATAACTATCATTTTCTATGGCTAAGGGATACTCATCTTTATAATACCAGTCTCTTTTAGAAAACAGAGAAAGCAAAAACCACAAACCTTTGTATGAGGCATTTTTGCAATTAGGAAAGCCTATGGCAAGATTTTGATAGCAGGAGGAGGGTGGGGGTGGATTCTGTGAGAAGATGCCAGGAACTTCCCAACATGTCTGACAGAGCCTGTGCCAGCCAGCTCCAAGATGGACTTCCTGCTGGACAAGGCTGATGATGACAGCACCTCTGGGATAACGTATTTAATAAAGGAAAAAAGCCATACCAAGCAACAGCAGCTACAGCTAGAGAAGAGAGGATTGAGGCAGTGCAGAAGGAGGGCAGGAGGTGCTGCACATGTTGGAGCTGAGATCCCCCTGCAGCCTGTGCTGCAGACCATGGTGAAGCAGCTGTGCCCTGCAGCCCAAGGAGATCCAAGGTAGAGCAGAGCTCCACCTGCAACCCCTTGAGGAGCCCACATTGGAACAAATAGATTCCCAAAAGTGGCTGCAAGCCCATGGGAATTTCACACTGGAGCTGGGTCCTGGCAGGACCTGTGGCCCCATGTAGGGAGGAGCTCCCACTAGAGCAGGTTTCCTGGCAGGATTTGTGACCCCATGAGGGTACCAGGCTAGAGCAGGCTGTGCCTGAAGAAGGTGGCACCATGAGGAAGGGCTGAGAGAAGGTGGGGTTTTTAAAGATTTGTTTCTAATTTCTCATTTCCCTAGTCCTGATTGGTAAGAAATTTATTTTCCCCAAGCTGAGTCTGCTTTGTCCATGACAGTAATTAATAGGTGAACAATCTCTCCTTGTCCTTATCTCAACCCAGAAGCCTTTCATTATGTTTTTTCTCCCCAGGCCATCAGAGGAGGGGAGTGACAGAATGGCTTTGGTGAGCAGCTGACATCCAGCCAGGGTCAACCCAACCTAGATGGGAAGGAGTTAGATGGTATTTTTTAAGGGGGGGCAAGGACAGTAAGTTTTATTGCTGCTGAACCTCCATTAATATGTCTTAGCAGAGATTTAAGTGGAAATGCTTACATATAGCATGGTTGCTGCTGCCATCTCTGATTGATGTAAGCAAAATTTGAGTTAGTACATTTTCAAACAGAGATGATTTAGCAAAGAAATGGAGCCTGTATCAGTTTCTTGTCTTGTAAAAAAATAGGTACTTAAAAATTTACTGGAATTTGACAAGGGGATTACAGAAAAACTCAGGAGACTGTGCTGATTGCATCAGAGACAGCAGAAAAAGGAGCATCTGATTTTTCTGCTCATGGCAGGTGAATGGTTTTTAATGATGCTGTCTGCGTTGTATGTAGTAAAAATTTTTAATATGAGCTATTTTGAAAAACTATTGACTGATATCCCATTTGCATCTTAGGCACTTGCTTCTAATACATGTGGGCTTTCTTAAAAGACTCTTCCCTGGGCTACAATTAGAGACTTCATTGTGATTTAGATTAAACAACAACAGCTTTTTTATTGCTGAGCCTCTTTTCTCTGCCCGAATTTGTGCTTTGAGATGGAAAGGATGGCAAGTCTGAGCTCTGCCTGGGGCAATGAAAAGATGAAAGAGTATACAGAGATGCTGCAGGTGGCATTACTACCACCATACCAGCTGTTATGCTACTATATTTATAGCCATTATGCTATTACTATTGTTGTGGCATAACAGCTGGAAAATAAGAATAACTGCAACTTATACTGTAGAGGTTCAAATCACTATTTATTAATAACTATGACAGGAATTGGAAATCACACTTGGAAATAACTACACACAAATATTTCAGCACTTAATTGCTAGGGACCATAGGAAGTAGGATGAAAATACAGGTGGTACATGCATTTTTATCTTATGCATGGAATAATTAGCTGCAGATCCATTTCAAGACTTTTCAAATAGCAGAAAACAGAAGTACTCTTGCTACAGAGGTTTGATGCAGCAGAATTGAATGTCCCAATTTACTTTCTCCAAGTAATGTTATGCTTGCTTCCCCCCCGCCACTGTTATTTCTTACCTTTTAAGGCAGCAGTCCCAGCTGGTTTTATGGTTGTAAGACACCCATGTCAATTAAATTTTGTTACTTAGTCCTCATTTACTCTAAGCTGCTTTGGAGTCCAAAACTTCCTTTCTGCTCCTGAAGCAGTTCTAAGAATTCTTGGTGCAATCAGATTGTACCATGGGTGGATTTCTATTTAATTGACATTAGTGGAACATGTGCATATGTTCAGCTATCCTGGGCCTGAACTGGTACATTTATGTGCTTGATTAACTGGGAAATTAACTGTATTTTACTCCACTTGTATTTGAAGGGAAAATTATCAAAAATATCCTGTATTCCTATACCAAACCAAGCTTCTTCCTCTTGTGTAGAATTCTGTGTGGTAGAGGAGATTTATAGATTTAGATGCAGATATAGATAGTTATACATGATATAGATATAGAGATATATAAGGCTGTATCAGGAAGATATATCCAAGGGACTAAAGTCATGTACATCACCAAAAAAAATCCCTAAAAAAACCCCAGGTGATGCTGTGACTTGAATAGAGATATCATAGAGCTGTTACTGTAAGAAGTTGGAGTTACTTTTCTGACTTTTGTATTGCTAACAATATTCTTTAAAATGCTCTCTTAGTTCCAAGCTGATGCGTAGCTGGGATGTGGATGCATCCCTCTCTGCAGAACAAAATTGTGTTTCTGTGAAACCATCAGGAGGCTTTGGTGGTTTATTTCTTTTCTAGGTCTCAGATTCCAGAGTTGGGTATGGTAGAGCAGAACCAGAAAAGCATGTGTCTATTGGCATGCAAGTGACTGGACAAGTCAGCCCTTGAAGATGGAGCTGCCTCCCTGAACCAAGCTGGAGCAGGAATCAGGCCACTCAGCCAGCAGAGCAGGCACTGTCTCTGTTTCTTTTCATTAGAGCACATCAGCATTATAATTTTCCAGACCAGCCAGCTAATTGTATTATCCGTGTTGTTTTTATTGGCTGAAGAATCATGACATTCTCTCTTACGGCTTTCTTAAATTAGGATTTATTTAAAGTCTCTGTACATAGATCTTAGGAGCAGACACAGTATGCCTTCAATTACTGTATGTCTTGTCCTCATTTGAAACGGAGGCAGCCAAATCAGGTTCTGCAGTAATAAAACCATAGAGCTGAAGACATGAAAAACTGAGTCATCCTAAAATTGAGTAGCTGTAGCATTTTACTTCTCTGCAGCCATGG